AATTAATTTGGATTTTAATTAGAATTTAATTACATTGATGAAATTTTAATTGATTTATTTACTTATTGAAATCTTAATAAAAAATTAAGGATCGACACCCTCCTCGCTTCTAATTGCTGTGCCCGACAGGGCCTACAATGTACTGTATCAATTATTAACATCTTTTATAATAATATTGTAGAATGCAATTTATTGCATTCTACAATATTATTATAAATTTAAATATTATTATAATTAAATAAATATTATTATTCAATTCAATTCAATTTATTTATAAATTGAATTGAATAGAATAGTGTATGTACTCGCCAATTAATTATTTTCTCTCTAACTACACTGGGTTGGCTGGATGAGATCTCTTTTAGAGAGAGATAAGCCCTCCCTTTGCTAACAAGTTGTTAAACTAATCGCTGTATCTATTGTTCTAGTGCAATAAAGAATATATTTGTATTCTAAATCAAGGCAGGATAAGCTGCAAAGTAGTCAATGTTATTAAAATTCAACGCGGATGTAAGATTAGCTATGAACTTCTCGTATACGTTATGCACGACCACTGTTTCCGCGATACATATATTGATTAAAATATAACATAAATAATATAAACATATTGTTTATATACCGAGTGAAACAAGGGCAATAACCTCGCGTTATCAGCGTATGGTGATGTCACAGTTTGATAACGACACGGTAACGAGAATCTTGGCACCATGAGGAAGTTACTTTTATTTTACTGAAGAACTCACACGAGCAAAACAACACATTACTGGATACTTCTAATATTTTACTTTAAGCAGTATTTACGCATTTGCTCGCGTTAATTATTTACTTGGAGTATAAACAGTATGCATTTATTATATTTAATTCAAAACTGTCTACATTTTTTGCATAACAAAAGAAGATCATGGAGTCCCATTTGAAGCAATTTTTTTTTAAACAGACTAAAGCGCGTTATGGTTCGGTTTTGCCAGTTATAATTATAATAATTTGGCTACCCCATTTTAAGCATAAATTGACGTATTGTTCATGAAGTTTACGTATGATCTATGATTATAAATTAATTCGACAAAAATGAACAAAAGTTCGACTTTTTTAGGTGCTAAGTTAAACTGATACACATCTTTAAAGATGCATATGGTGAAAGGCATAGGAAAATAGCACTAAAGGGAGAGATAATAGGACTAACCAGAGATTTACAAGTTACTTTTTTGAATTTTTTATATATTTATTCTCTTTTAATATCCTGATGAAAATAAGAACCGTGATGAAAATTTAAATACTTTCCAAAAAGTAAACAGTTGGTTAATAGAACATAACTTGTGTATTAACATAAACGAAATCATTCAAATGAAATCATATCAGAAAAGACCTCTAAATTTAAAACCTATTTTGAAATGATTAAGTATCGACGAAGTTGACCAATTTTATTTATTAGAACATGTAATACGTAGATTCAAATTTAAATTGGAAGATCCATGTTCGTATTGTTAGATCTAAATTATCCAGACTCTATGCTCGTATTTAAAATCGAATTTTAAAATATTTTTATTTATGTAGGTCTATTCCAGACTCTTATGATATGTCGAATCAGCCGTTAGTTCGGAATGATTTCAAGATGAGAAGAACTGACAAGAAATTCAGCACGTATTGTTTTCAAATAAATTTTATAATTATTTACAATAATATAGATTCATTTTTAAATTCAAATTTGGGAAAATAGCGTGACCACCAGTATAGTATTAAAACAAATACAAACTTCGGGTACGCCCTGGCCGCGTATTATGTAAACGCTTATGCTTGGATGTAATATGGCATAATACTATGGGGACATAGCAGAGATTTAACTGATGTATTTGTCTTACAAAAGAAATGCCTTCGTATATTGGTAAATGTGTGACCAAAAGACAGTTGCAGAATCGTATTTTGTCAAAAATAAAATGTAAACTTTTCCCTCCATTTTTGTTCTTGAAACAGTAATGTACGAGTAGGTACATTAGAAAAAATATTAAATCTTATAAATTTTTAAAAAAAATTCTCGTCGTAAAATAAAATAGAACTACCAGATTCAATAATTACAATTAAAAAAACTGTAAAGAACTAAACAAATTTATTTTTTTATTTATTTATTTAACACTTTATTGCACCAACATAACAGAATTTGTTGAACAATTTTCAATACTCGTTATATATCGTTATATCATATACTCGTTATATAAAAAAAACTGAGTGAGTGAATGATTAAGAGGGAAGATGTGGCCTCATTTTTTTCATTAGTAGATATATATCCGTGCGAAGTCAGGATAGAGAGCTAGTTTATAATATTTATTTATTTATAGGATCACTAACATAAGATACAGCGAAACATTTCAATACAATACACTAGTGGATTAGGTCTAACTATTCTTGTATTTAGAAGCAACTACAGCGTGCTTTGTGTTTGAGAAAATGTTAAATGAATGTTGCTATAATTATGTCACATATTTTTCACCACATCTGCCTTCATACGCTTATTGTTTTTACCTAGTGGTTAGCTGGTAGAGAATGCCATATGGCATTAAGTTCGCCACTTGTACAAAGTTTTATTGTGCAATAAAGAATAAATAAATAAATACATAAAAATAAACAAGTGATGAAAATTATGATTGAATTATATAAATTTAATTTAATTTAAATTGTAAATAAATAAAATATAAAGGCGATGTATAAAAACTTTTTAATTTAGACATGACCATAGTGACAATCATAATTAATAACACGTCAGGCTTGGTTTCTACAAATTTACGTCACTTCATAAAGTTATCTCAGTCTAATTAATATGAACAAGTCTAATTGATAAAAACCTTGAATTATATAAAAAAATAACTTCAATTAAGGAGTAAATGGATTCTAAAATTAGTTTTAGAATACAAATAATAATAATTGGTGATTACGTCGATAATTCTGAACTAATTTTCATAATTCTTTTTACAATAAATCCTTTTACAATAATTACAAAATCTTCCCTTCCCAACATTGTATGTAATACAAATTTTGTAATAAAGGTAGCCGCCATTTTTTAGAGTATAATCCCACTTATAGCGAAGGACAAGGTTTCGGTATTTATTAAGTGTCACATACAAACAGCTGTTTACGCTATCGGTTCTGTTTACGCTAGCTATTTGTCACCATGATGTTTACGGTCATCTAGTACAAAGATGGACTGAATATGGCTTGTTGCTTCTTATAAGAAATTTATAATTTAAAAATTAAATGTTCCCTAAATCTATTCGACTAAATATTTAGTTAGAAATGTTTCATTTTTAACATAGACGTAGTATAACATAATATGTACTGACAGACTAGCAATGCAATGTCAAAAATGAGACAAAAAAAAATTACACTAGTGTGCGTGTTTCGTAAATATGTACACGTGACAGTTCTGCATTTGTATTGAATTGAAATTGCAAAAATAGTAAAAATTTACAAATGTGTTATAATTTTAAAATCAATTCGAAGATGTTCGGAACTTTATTTGAATTAAATGATATATTTTTTTCTACCAATTCTTGTATAAAATATTTCTAATCTTTCTAGAATATTGCTTTTAAAGGCATAAATATTTATAGCGAAATTACACGAAAAATGTGCAAATTTGGATTTGTTTTTCTAGTTTATGTCATGTTAAGTATGCTATACTAAATTCTAATAAACTATATTCATTTGAGGTTAATCCCACTTCATAACGTAAAAATAGTTAGAAATTATTTTGTTCATATTCCCGCCAAAACAGCTTCGAGCATATATTGTGCACATTATTCTCCTATTGTCTATCTCGTTCTAACATATGTATAGGTTGTTGTATTTTCTCTCTTTCACATTGCTCCTTTGCTTGTTTTAATTGGTATATTGATGTTACGGTACAAAATACAAAATTATAATTATTGTACATGAATTTCTATTCATTATTATGTAATTATACCAAACTTAGATACAGTAATATTGATAGGTATATAACAATAATGTAAATCTCGATGTGGATATCCGATTGCATTAAATAAATTACCGGTCGAGCATTGTTCACCCACACATCACGTAATAGCTGGCTATTCTATCCACATCCGATTCCGATAGGTAATTATATTCATGGTTATTCATATATTTACGGGGAAACATACAAAAAATTGTTTTCAAATGTTATAGGCAGGCTCATTAGATACTAATCAGAATCGCTCAATAATTATTACGTTATTTAAGAGTCGACACTACACTTATATTAATGAAACAAATAAATCTATGCAACCAAATAGAAGTATCAACGCAATATAATATTTTTTTTATTAAATGTATATTTTAAATATATTAATTAAATCTATATTCTTAATGTTACATTATTATACAATATACCAGTATCTAAAATATCAATGTCGAACTTTATCATATAAAAATACGGAGCTTTTATTATATAAAATTTTTATTTTCAATGAATTGAATACATAGAATTCATACAAAGTTTTTTATTTGAAGTGACGTGAGCCAGAGTAATAATAAAATTAACTTTTCGAACACGCGAAACTCATAGAAAAGTTCAAAGTTCTTATATCATATATTTTGTTTATTTGAAAAAATTGCCTTCCATTTTTAAACACTTTTTTTTTTTAAAAGAATTATTTTTAAAATCTGCACCTACTCGAATAGGGAAAACATAGACTTAAACACTAGACTAATAACGTACTTAGAAAAGACAACAGTGTACTAAACAAAATGTACAAGGAGATACATTTTTAAAACAACAAAAATTGAATAGAAAATTATGTATACATTTAGTAATTTTTTTTTTTATTGTGCATAGACATAGAAATTTTGAAATACTTTGTGTGCATGAGATTTGTATAATTAACGTATAATGGTCACCTATTCCTAAATATTCATTGTCTTATTGCGATTTACAAACAATTGCTATGTTTTTCTTTAATTGATTTCAATAGTTAAGATGATAATGATTAAGAGATTCATCTAAAACTTACCAAGGTGCTTTATCAAGCAATGTTTGGGCAGGTCCATTTTTATTCGCTTCCACAGACGTCATTATAAGCTGTAAGGATTTAAATAATAATACTTAATATTTTATAAGTACTTAATTATAATTTTAATAGCTACTTTTACAAATGAAAATAATGGTCATAATAATCTATTTTAATAGGATTTAATCGAAAAATAACCTAATTTTTATGAAATTATTACAGAAATAAATGAAATGTAATTTCATTTCATTTCATAACAAATTTAAAGATTTAATGTAATTAACAGATTTTTTTATTTGAAATACTACTAGAAGCGAGCAAACTTTTTCATTATTATTCGTTTGTTTACATTTTAATTACATTGGAACATATTATTCAAAAATACATTTAATTAATTAATTGAATACAATTCTGACTTTAGTTTTCTATGAATTGCTGTCGTTTGTTTTGTTGACTAAAACATTGTTATCTACCTTCATAATATCAATAAAAATCCATTAAACAACCTTAAATACATACTGCCCTAAAATAAATATATTTATTATTTTTATAAAGCATTAAGCTATTGATTACTTACGCCGGTCACAATAAAAAAAAAATATAACTACACTATCTGTCAGAATCTTTTGGCGGGAGGATTGCAAAACGCGCGCGTTCACACTACACACTGTTGAATGACTAAATCACTAGCGTTAACGCCACTCAACTCTTGTCTTACGACCTATTACAGACGACCAGAATGAAATGAACACTGGCGATGCGTTCAGAAACTGGAATTAGGTCGAGTCAAGGTCTATGGATTAACGTAGATCCATTCTATAGAGCATAAAGACTTGCTATTACTTTTTTTAGTTCGAAGTACGTATACAGGTATCTAATTAAATCGGATATTGCTAACGCCTGCACATATATGCGTCTATTACTCCATTTGTATGCTTAAGCCACTCCTTATTTCGCTGCATTAGAAGTAGGTAAAGGATTTATTCTTTCATTTAATTTAGATAAAACAAACTACGAACGTACCTATTGATATATAAGTGTGTAAACCCATTCCTTAATCTTATGAAGTATAGTTGAAAAAATATGATTTCACTTAGTGTACCACCCGTGTTATAGCCCTAAATGACGTGAGCCCAAATACCAAAACTTCGGATTACCTCTCTGGTGATAGTACACATCTTATTATCACTTACCATTAGGTTAGATAAAAGTTAACAAAGAAACAAGTTAACAAAGTGAATATTAGGAACAGCGGTAACTTCACCATCTACATGTTGACTGCATGAATGAAATTTCTAGACTGTTTCACTCAAAGAATGATATAGAATAGGTACATAAGCTTTTAAATGAATGATAATGGAATGGCAACCCGCATGCGCTATCGGTATACGATGGCAGGGTACCAGTAGGTTACTCCTTCCTTTCCCGTGGGTGTCATAACGGGCGACTAAGGGAGAGCGAGGTATAACTAGTAGCGTCCCTCTTAAAACATCTTCAAAGCTTTTTTTTTTTAATAGATGATAATGAAATAGTAACCCGCGCTATCAGTATACACCGACGGGGCATCAAGGAAGGATGACAGATGAAGATGAAGCAGGTCAGTTAGCCCTTCGTGACGAATTCAACAAGAATTGTTCACGATGGTTTCCAGGGGGAACTACGTGGAGGTCGACCTGATAGGGCAAATTGCAAGCAATAGGACTGTTAAACTGTATTGCTAACAATCCCTTTCCCCCCTCAAAAAGCTTAATTGCGGCTGCCAATCCGCCTGCCAAGCGTGGCAACTACTGGCAAAACCCCCCCTAGAAAGTTGCTTATGTTCAGCAGTGGACAGTTAAAGGCTGATATGATGATGATGACAGATTACGTCAATACACTACCTATGTAATCAACCATATTTAAAAAAAAATCTGAATTGAGAGGTCAGAATAATTAAAATAACAATGTCAATAAGTTAACAGTCAAAGATATCAATTTTTACAGATTTTTTTATGCAACTTAGAACGGCAATCGAGCTGACGGCCCACCTGATGAAAAGTGGTAACCGTCGCCTACAGACATGAGCAGTACCATAGACATAACAGAATATACTGTTTCGTCCATAATACACCTATGCGTTGCCATTCCTGAGGACTAAGGTGTTATTCCTCTGTACCCTGTAAATTCGCAGCCATGCAAACACAACTGGTTCACAGTAGAAATATGAATGGGACAAAGGTACCCAAGGAAATGACTTTTGTACAAAGTCTCCATCTAGTAAGATAGGTATTATTAATTGGTTAAAATACCAATATTCATCGTCATTATACCAGCTGTGAACTGTCCACTGTTACTGTACGTGGATCAATATTAAATTAAAAATAAATAAATACAAACAGGTGTAGTACGACCTCCCACTAGATGGAGTGACGACCTCAAATGCATTGCAGGAAGTCAGTGAATGCAGGTGGCTTAGGACCGTTCCTTATGGTAGCCTACGGGCGAGACCTATGTTTAGAGGACACATAATAGCTGATGTAATGAACTCTAATAAATATTAAAATATTAAATCGATAAATATTATTATATTCTTTATTAAATTTAATATATTTCATCTGGTTTTATTTAAATACTCGTAATTGGCTTGACACCCGAAATGGCAAACAGTTGAAACACATGACTGCTTTCTAGTCCAAGGTCGGGTAATATTTATATTTAAGTGTACTGATGTCGTATTGAAGTGGTATGAACACAGATTTTTTTTAATATGAATTATTATTGCTTTTTCATATGTTTTAGAATTTAAACCAACTAAAACAAAATGAGATAGCAACATGACTGTTATTTTTTTTATACTAATATAGTCAGTAAATACATATTTGTCTGCTTGTATATGTCTGCATTAGTCATATTGAAGTTACTGGAAGTTTTTTGGAATAATTATATTATTTAGATTATGTATTTTTTTTAACAAATATTAAAAAAGAAGTAAGTATGACTGTATTTTGTCTGTGTGTGTATATTACACAATATCCAAACCACAGTAAGTGTTTTTGTGCACAATGAAAATTACCTAGATAACTCAAGATAGTAGATGGCGCCACCCTCACGTAGCTGCAATTTTTTACACCACTTTTTCAATACTTTCTGTATGACCTAGGGTCAAAAAGTTTTTTTTATGCAATTTAGAATGACACAATCTGACAGCCCACCTGATGGAAAGTGGTTACCATCGCCTACATGTATGAGCAGTACCATGGACATAACAGAGTATACTGTTTAGCCCGTGATACCCCCTCTGTACTCTGTAAATTCCCTGCCATATCCCACCCTTCAAACCGAAACACAGCCATGCAAACACAATTGCGTCATTATAAAAACACGAATATGACAGAGATGCCCAAGCAAACGACTTTCGTACAAACTCTCCCTCTGGTAAAACGCCTTATGATGTTATGTCTACAATATGTATAATTTGTCATATAATGTCATGAAGATAATTAAATAATTTATTGTGTTTACCTATAATTGACGCATGGATTTTATTTTCTTAATAATTAACTATTGCATTTTTTTAAACGTGTTCATGTTGCTGTTGGTTTACCCGTAATACATAAATTAATAAATTTGATAAAATACTTTAAATATTCATCAGTCAATATTTCTTTATTAATTTAACACTTTATTGCACTAAAATTACAAGATTTATTGAACAATTTTCGATAAGTATAGTGTAGTACAAAAGGCGGTTTTATTGCTAAACAATCTCTTCCAGACAACCTTTGGGTAGAAGGAATTAATGAATAAATAGATAGGTGGCACATTAAAAAATAGATTTAGATATTTAATTTATTTTTTATGAGTAAGCAACCATTATTAAATAGAAATAAGTTTAAATATTATAAATAATTGTAATTATATTTTCTAAAACAAATTATTACAAATCATAAATTTTTTTATTGCATAATTATAAAATCAATCTACTGATTTTTTTTATCAAATCTACTTTATCTGAGTGTATAGATGATTGTAATCAAGTGATAAGTTTTATTTTAGATTATCACGTTCAAGCAACAATAATATTACGTTATTATTTGAGTATCATAGAGATACTGACTGTAGCTCTATATCAATGCAGAAATAGATAGCAAGGTTATTTTATGTGGATTATCATAGACAAAAAAGATAAATACTCATCATCTTCCTGCCCTTATCACAATTATTTGAGATCTGCGTACTATGATTCTATTCATATTGAAGAAGGATTTAGTTTCTAATTTATGGTTTTGTGATCGGCTACCTGATGAAAAAATAAGAGATAAGTATTACAGAAAAGAAATATGTACTGTGCTATGTAATAAAATTATACTGTATTACAATTTAACAATTATACATATACAAGTGATTAATTTTATAATAACCAATTAACATCTCATTGTCTATTAAGATGATTATTTGTAAAAAATGACACATTAACAAGTTGTGCTTAGTTTGAGACTAGATGGCGCTTTAAAATGTATAGTATATGTGTATATATGTCCAATATTAATCCAACACTAATATTATAAAGAAGAATGATTTGTTTTAGAAGCAGAGTAGGATCGTTAGTTACCTACATACTCGTAATTCATTAGATGTGCCAATACACACCGAGACTAGTATGATAACGGTAGTGGGCAGATACTTTCACGCGTTCACTGCACCGCAATGATCGCCGATGATCCGCGGTTGCCAAACTTAACTCGTACATTTTCGTCATTGGCGTATGGAGAAATATTCATAAACTAGACTATTGCCGTGTATCGATCAAAACAACAAAACTTCTAGAAGATTGACTTTATTAAATCCTTCTATATTCCATAGAGTCCGCCTTTATATATAGATTTTTTTTTAATATGTTTAATGCAAAGTAAATATAAAAAAGATTTTACAGTCCGATATAATGATCGTATACGGTGCGTTTTTTTTTAATGGATGATAATGGAATGGTAACCCCGCCTACGTTAACGGTATACACTGGCAGGACACCAGTGAGGGATGATAGGTGAGGATGGAGTAGGTCAGTTAGCCCATCGTGACGAATTCAACAAGAATTGTTCACGATGGTTTCCAGGGGGGACCACGAGGAGGTCAACCTAATAGAGCATATTGCTAGCGATGGGGCTGTTAAACTCCATTGCTAACAATCCCTTTCCCCCCTTTAATGGGTGATAATGGAATGGTAACCTCGTCCGCGCTAAAGGTATCCGTTGGTGGGACACCAGTGACGGATGATAGGTGACAATGAAAGTAGGTCAGTTTGCCCATCGTAACAAATTTATAACAAACATAAGTGGTAAGAATGTTCCCAAGCTATTGCCTATGTTTCCACTTATGTTTCAGCTAGTTTAAGTTAGAAGGGTGAGACATACTTACCTGAAGGAGATTTTCTTCAAAAGTCATTTGCTTGGGTACTTTTGTTCCAATCATGTTTCTAACGTGAAGCAGTTGTTTATATGACTATGTTGGAGTTTGAAGAACTGGATATGGCAGTGAATTTATAGGGTACAGAGGTATAACACCTTAGTCCTCAGGAATGGCAACGCATGGGGGGTATCATGGGCGAAACAGTATATTCTGTTATGTCCACTACTTTCCGTCTGGGGGCCGTTAGTTTATTTGTCATTCTAAGTTGCATAAAAAAAATCAAGTACTTAAGTTCGAATTCATTACTTTGTTATCCATGGTACTGCTCATGTATATACGCGACGGTTTTTTT